CCTGGCGGGGGTCCAGAGGGGAGGGACTGACCTCCTGTCTCTGCAGAATGGAGCGAAGGGCCAGTTAAAGGGCCTTTCGGCTCGAGGGCCGAAAGGGCAGCCTTGTCCTCCACCTTTTGTCTTTCTTCGGTGGGGATGGGCCCAGTGGACTGGGGGCCCTGGGGTTCTGTCTCCTTCCCCGTTCGGGGTCAGGTGGCCTCTTGGGGAGGACACTCAGCTCTCCCCCCTCACCCCTGGTCAGGGCATCATAACCACGCCACCAGCCACTGAGGGTCCCCAGGTGACTGGGCAGGGGCTCCCTGGGGCCGCAGGGGACTTTCAGCAGACCTCAGGCTGGGGTCCCAGCGAGTGGCCCGATGGCTCCTCGGGGGGCAGCCTGCACCCGGCTCTTCTCCTTCGTGGGTGGGAGATTGTTGCCTCACATTTCACAGACGCAGAGGTCAATGTCCGTCCAAGGCCTTGAAAGGGCTGTGGGCCCCGAGGATCCTAAAGGCTGAAGTAAAAGAAGATGGTGCTGAGGAGGGAATTCACAGGGGAAGTGCTTCCTTGAGGCCCACTCTTCTGTAGACGACCCAGTGAACCGCAGAGTCTGCTGTGCCTGACCGCAGAATCAGCCCTCTCCTCTTCTTTGTGCGTGCGGATATGCTAATTCTCTCCAGTCATGTCTCACTCTTTGCGACCCCATGGAATGCAGCACACCAGGCTTCCCTGTCCTTCACTGTCTCCCAGAATTTGCTAAAACTCATGTCCATTGAATTGGTGATGCCATCCAACCATCTCATCCTCTGTTGTCCCCATCTCTTCCTGCCCTCAATCTTTCCCAACATCAGGGTCTTTTCCAGTGAGTCGGCTCTTTCCATCAGGTGGCTAAAGTATTGGAGCTTCAGCATCAGTCCTTCCAGTGAATATTCAGGGTTTATTTCCTTTAGGATGGACGGGTTTGATCTCCTTGCAGTCCAAGGGACTCTCAAGAGTCTTCTCCAACACCACAGCTTGAAAGCACCAGTTCTTCAGTGCTCAGTCCGCTTTATGGTCCAGCTCTCACATCCATTGATGCCTGTATCCATTAGGAATGAGACAAGTTACCAGTGATAGAAAATTCAAATTAATGGTGACTCAAACACAAAATGCTTGAAGTGCTCCGAAAAGTTGGAAGATGGACTGGGTCACTCCAGGCTGGCATGGCTGTTCCACTGGGTCCTCAGAGGCCCAGGCTCCGTCCCACTGTCTGTTTTGCCACTCCCTAGACTGCATCATCCACAGTGGATGCTGGTGCTCCTGCCATCACATCCACCTCTCAGCCAGCAGGAAGGAGAGAGAGGCAAGGAAGGAGGCCTCTCTTCTCTGTATGCAACATTTCCCGAAAGGTACATGTGCAACTCTGCTTGAATCTCCTTGACCAGAATGCACTGTTGTGGCCACACCCGGATACAGGAGATGGGAAGTGTAGTCCTCACCCGAGACAGTTGGGCACTGAGGGACGGGGCTCCTGTGCAGGGGCCAGCATCAGCTCCTGCCACGGGGCTCCAGGGAGTCGATGTCTTAGCCGGAGAGGGCTGGGAGGGTCCCACATGAAACCCTCGGTGGTAGATTTTAGTGACTTGGACTCTGCTTTGCGGAGCAGAAAACCAAGCTGCCTGGCTGGTGGGCTGGGTCCCTGGGCACAAGATCGATCTGGAAGGTGAGAGGAACAGGACTTCAGGCAGACAGCGTCTGGGGAGACATCTGCAGGAGGTCAGCGGAGGCTCTGGAGTGATTTTGAACTTGGAGGAACAGGACTTCAGGCAGACAGCGTCTGGGGAGACATCTGCAGGTCAGCGGAGGCTCTGGAGTGATTTTGAGCTTGGAAATGCCAGAGCTGCTGTGTGACCTTGGGAAAGGCGTTTGGTCTCTGGAAGTTTCTGGGGCCTCGTCCCCCGGACACCTGACTTGTCTCGCCTCCTGCTTGCGTTCCCTGCTACAGGAGGCCCCTCTGAGCCTGGCCTCACCTGGAAAGAAGGCAGGCATTGGCTCATGGTTCTCAAGGTCCCTTCAAGCCCCCAACTCTTCGGACTCATTCAGGGCCAGTCAATCCAGCGCTGCTGCATTAGGCCGTTTTCTCTTTTTTTTTTTTTAATGCTGACACAATTCAGTTATTTTTAAAACCGTTTCCATAAACAGAGAGAAAGCAAATGGCCTTCTACCTGCTTTTCAGGCATGAGTAAATACTGACAAACACTCGCAGGTAAGTTTCCGTGATGGAACCAGTCACCTGGGCGACATCGCAGGCACACAGCACGCTGAAGCTGGATGACAAGCCACATGAGTGTCCAGAGGGGGCCGGTTGGGACTGGGGGGGGGGGGGGGGGGGGGCGAGCCTGGCTTCACCTGGACACCAGGACTTTCAGGAGAAAGTTGCTGCAGAAATATCCACAAGAGCCATTTAATCGTGACGCCCAGCCCCAGTCTTGCAGCAGTGTCCCCAGCTGAGCTGGAGTCGTGTCAGGAGAAGCGCATCCGACGCTCTGCCCCTACGGCCTCGACGCTGAGCGTGGGGGAGCGTGCCAGGGAGGGGACCGTCTAGTTCTTAGCCCCGGGCACTCCTTGGAGCCTTGGGGGGCTCTGCCAGCTGTTGACATGGGGCGGTCCACCTACCTCCAGGGCCCAGCCCCCACCCAAACCTCCATGCAACGCCGGCTCGCGGACCACGAGGTTAAACCGCCGTGTCACCGCCTCCCTTCCCCGGCGCTGCTGAGGGTCGTGGCTGAGCTCCCCCGCCCCCGGCACCCCACGCCACCCCAGGGCAGATCTGGTCCCCAGGGTTCCTGGGTGCCCTTCACGATGGAGCTTCTCCTGGGGTTTCTCAAGCAGAGCTGCTTTGTCCCCAGAAGAGGGATGCTCAGGAGCTCTCGTTCTGAAGAATGCATGAACCCGCGGGGGCTGAGGCCCGCTTCTCCTCGTGGGTGGCGGGCAGCCCAGAGCGGCTCCCTGTTCTTTCCCGCCAGGCCTGCTCGGTGGGAGGTCCTGGGACCACGCTGTCTGGGGAGTAGCCGCAGGCCTCAGATGGCTTCTGGGCAGGAAGTGCGGGCCGCGTGTTCATTTCCTGTCCCCGCACACGCTCATCTGGACAGCCGCGGGTCTGGTCTGGACCCTCCAGGACCCAGCAATGCAGACAGAGGTCAGCCCGTGGAGTCTTTCAGCACCAGGCCCGGGACCTGGGCCTTGTTTTGCACAGAACGGGCAGACAGCGGAGGCTTTGGATTAAGAGCGAGAGCTGGGGGTGGTGTCTGGGAGGCAGGCTGAGACGGTGGCGGTGACCAGGGGAGTGAGGAAGAGGGGGACGCGGAGGAGGGAATCTGAGGTGACGACTGGGCTTCATGCCTGGAGGTCCATGATGGCTGAACAACCAGGCCAGTAGTGGGTGCATCGGCCCAAAGAACCGTAAGTGGACAGCCTGCAGGGGTCCACAGCCCTTTCAGACCTGCCTGAGGCCTGAGGCCCGCTCGGAGCCACGCACCAACAGCAGTGCTGCTGTGGGCAGGGGCTCCAGGTGTTCACCCCCCTCTCTGTCAGGCACACCTGGGTCCCAGGGCAGGGCCAGAGTGGAGGCGCGGGAGGACCCGTTCCTGCTGGGAGAACTCGTCTAGCGCGAGACGGGTGCGGGGCCTGGCTCTGGGGTGCGGGAGGCCGTTCTGTCTCCAGGCCCACGTTGCAGTGACCCCCGTGCCCGGGAGTGGACATAGGCTACTCAGAGGCTGCCAGGCAGGCTCGGTTTGAGGAAAGGAGCAGGAGCCATGTGAGGGGTGGGGCCAGAGGCTGGGGAGCATCCAGGAGGGTGAGTGGGGGGGTGGCCGGGCTCCGGAGGCCAGGACTGAGTCTGCTGGACTCTGGGGGTGGCCAGGAGTGACCCGTGCGATTTGCGGGTTTGACGGGGTGCTGGCGGGGCGCCTCTGCTCTGGCCCTGTCCCTCTGCCCGACTCTCCATCATAAATGGGTGTGGTGTGCGAAGCTCCTGGGGAGAATGACACTTGTAAATGCCTCGGAAAGCTCTCAGTGCCATCTGAGAACAATCCCTGTGCCCAGTCAAGGGATTCCAAGGCCAGCGCCTGTGAGCATGGCTGGCTCCCCACCCCCAGTGAGCTGAGTGGGGTGCGACCTGCTCGAGGGACTCTTCGAATCCAGGGGCTGATTTTCCAAAAGTGCGAAACGGAACATGTGGAGATGCGGGGCAGTTGTTTCCTGAGAGTTTGTCCTGAGCAGCTGAGAACAGCACCCCCTTCCCCCTCCTGAGGGGGCTGTTCCTTCTCTCGACTGCTCTTTCTGCAAGCAGGGCAGCTCACTGCAGGGGTTCTCAGACTGAGAAGGGGCAGGTCGTGATTCGAGTCACTGTTATCCTCCTGTTTGACAGAGAAAACGGAGGCAGGGTGTCCAGGGGACTCTCCAGTGTCGCAGGCTCTGGTGGGGCAGCCACGTGGTACCCGCACGGCTCAGGCTCTCAGCCTGTCTGCCCCATGTCCAGCCACTCTCAGCTCACCTGCCATCCTGCCACAGCTCTCTGGCTTGACTTGGACCCAGGTGCCCAGGGGTCCCGCCTTCACAGAGCGCCTGTCCCAGGGGAGTGAGTGACTGACCGACCAGCACCCACTCTATGAAGGGACCCACACTGCTGGTGGGCAGGAGGCTGGGACCCCAGTGGGGGGCTTGGGGCGGGAAACTCTCCCCGACCAGCTCTCTTGCAAAGGTCACTGCCAGGGTCACCCATGCATGTGGGAAGCATTCTAGAGAATGTATATTAATGATTCTAGGACAAGCTGTACAGGTTAGAAGGACTATATCTTTCTGCTCCATTTTTCTCTCACTGACACCCCTGACAAGTTCGCCCCAAAACACTCGGCCCCACTGACACGTTTTTTATTTTTAAAAAATGTTTATTTTATGGATATTTTATTCTGGTATTCAGTTTTCCCTTAGCATGTTTTGTTTTCCAAAATAAGAAAGGAAACAAGAAAAAAAGAAAAAGATTATCTTAATCTCACTGCACTAACACAAATTTGCAGTTCTCTTAATACCATAAAACTATAAAACACACAAAAATGGAAACCCTAAACTATGCAATCTTAACGATTCTCTCGACAACCAGTGAAAATAAAATTCTGTGAACAGATCCCCCCAGGAGCCAGAATTTCCAGTTTGCTCGCGGGACTTTCCAGGCGCTGGGCACTGCATTTTGCACTGAGTAAATAGCAGATGATAAAGAGTAGAAAGAGTTCCTCTTTCCTGGTTGAGCGACCAAGTAACACAGAAGAAATCATTTCTGTTTATAAAGAAAATAAAAGAAAGTGTCGTTTTATGGGCAAAGAGAGAAGCGCTGTCACCCCAAGCCGAGGTCCCCTTGGATCCCACACCATTCTGGGGCCTCTGCCTCCAGGTCGCCCCTCCTCCGGGCTGGGGGCTGGCGTCCATGCAGAGACCGTCTCCAGGGGCCGGTCCTTAGGCCTCGCCCGGAGCTGGGAGCCCGAGGTGCCAGGGTGCAGGGGCTGGAGCCCACGGAGTCCGTAAGCATCTGCCTGGGGCTCGGACGCGGGGCGTCTGGTCTGGTTCTGAGCTTCCTCACCTGCGGTGACCGCTGTTCCAAACCGACATCTGCACAAACAGCTCTCTCCAGCCCTTCTCAGCTTCGCCTTCAGGAGCCCAGCGCTCTGCAGTCAGCCTGGGCCGGGGACAGTGCAGGCCTGCCCCACGGCATGACCTGCTGGTGCCTGGCTGCACCTTCTCCCAGACAGTGGTGGAGGGTACAGGGGTGGATCTAAAGCCCCTTGTGTCTGTGAGCTGGGGTGGGGCTTTCCTTCACCTGGGACGCCCTGGTTCTGCCACCATTCTGCTCCAGGCCTGGGTTTGGTGGGAGTTCACCATCATGTCTGGGTCTGCAGACCTATTCTGCTTAGACGGCAGAGCAGGTGGCGCTCCAGGTGATGACCACAGGCTGGACGCTGCCATTCACATCCGGTTCCTGCACCCAGACAGTGTGTGACCTGTCTGAGGTTCTCAACCTCTCCAAGCCTCATGGAGACTTTTATTTCAGTTCAGGGGAAACCTGGCACCCACAGCTTCAGAATATTTCTGCCTTGAAGAGACTCTGAGGGCTGTGCAGCTGAGTTCCAAGAAGCCCTGGTGGGGTCTGCAGGCGTCCACGGGGAGTTATTACAGCTGAGCACCAGCTGACACTCTTGGTGTGGGGCCATCACAGGGCCGGGCGTTCCAAGGCTGTTTCAGGGTGTTTGGGAATGTTTCAGGATGTTTTGGGGTGTTTCAGGGTGTTTCAGGGTGTTTCAGGGTGTTTCTGGGTGTTTCAGGCTGTTTCAGGGTGTTTAGGGATGTTTCAGAATGTTTCAGGCTATTTCAGGCTGTTTCCGGGTGTTTCAGGGTGTTTGGGGATGTTTCAGGGTGTTTCGGGCTGTTTCAGGCTGTTCCCTTGTGCTTGGGGACGTTTCAGGGTGTTTGGGGATGTTTCAGGATGTTTCATGATGTTTCGGGATGTTTCCGGGTGTTTCAGAATGTTTCAGGCTGCCAGAAGGCTCTGGGCTCCAGCCTTGAATCCAGTCCTGCTGCCTGCCACCTACCCGTCACCTAGGAAGCCCCCCGCCCAGCCTGTCTCCCTGGTAACCCACTCAGAGTGATGAGATCCCGTGATCTGTCCTGTGAAATCACAAGAGAAGCTAACGTCACAGAGGAGGACCCCGAACCCCGGGAGCTTGAGGCTCAGACAACTCGGGGCGCCTCCTGGAGGAAAGGGTGTGAGGCTGCCATGCTGAACGTCTCTTGGGTCCTCCGGACGAGGTGCTGCAGCTGCCCCAGGTCACAGGGCAGCTCCAGAGGTGAGGTAGGACTCAGCTGAGCCCGGCGCCCAGGCTTGGGCGCTTCCCCACGGGACCGTTCCAGAGTTCGCTCCCAGCAGCTCCTCCTGACTCACCCAGCGTGACTTCCTGGCTGAGCCCTATGGAGCCACCGGCCCATCCCTGCTCCCCACGGTCTGCCTGTGCAATGCTCCCCTCCCGCCTGGAAGCTGGGCTGCAGGGCCAGCGGCCTCGTGCTGCCGCTCTCCAGCTCCGTGGTCTCAGGCGTCCCCACCCGTCGAGACCATAGTCAGCCCGCTTCATTCCGCCCCAGTGCCGTCAGGAGGAAGGACTGTCTGAGGGCCCAGAAAACTGCGGTCTGTGTGGTAGATGTCGGTCACTGCGTCGAGCCTCCTTCCTGCAGGCCTCAGCCCCGGTCCACACTGAGGCTTCCTGTCTCACAGGCTCTGAGTCCATCTCACGGTTTCAGTGGCCCCTGCTTGCCTCCTATGCCTTTGCTCTATTTCTATGATCAAATCATACCGTCTTTGCAAAGCAGATCAGACTTTTGGCCTCTGCCTCCTTTCGTCACTAGCACACTCTGAAGTCTTGTAAATATATTTGCTAACTTACTCATATTTGTGATAACAAGGTTTTGTTGGTTGCCGCAAACACTCAGTTTTACCTCCAGTGTTTTCTGATTGAGTTTGAACTGTAAGCTATAAACTGCACGGGCTGCCATGTGTCCCCACCCACAAACTGCAGGTGGCTTGGTGAGCACAGTGCTGGAGAGGTGTCTAGGCGTTTCATGAGGCCTGGGCCTGCAGGCCTTGTGGGCTTGCTGGCTGGCCGGACGCACAGGGCCAGGCCTTCCTGGCCGTCGTCCTGTCTAGACCATTGCAGGCAAAAGAAGGAAGAAACCAACTCTGTATGAGAATTTGATGCTAAAAAGTATGGTTTTTCAAACACATGGCCTTGGAGAAATTCTGTCCCAACACGTTTCACAGCGAAGCCTGATGTGTGCACCAGAGCTGCCTCTCCTGCTGGGCGAACTCGCCACACCTGCCGGGCAGCCTGCCCGCCCTCTGCCCGTTCCTCCAGCTGGCTATCAGACCATCTTATTTTTAGCTACAAGAATGTCCTCTTCTCCGTAAATACTTAGTCTTGAGAGAGTTCGATGCCCGTTTAAGGTTTTTCTCGTTTGAGGTGAGCCTTGTGTGCTTAACTGCTCAGTCGTGTCTGACCTTCGTGACCCCGTGGACTGCAGCCCACCAGGCTCCTCTGTCCGTGGATTCTCCAGGGAAGAATACTGCAGTGGGTTGCCAGCCCTCCTCCAGGGGATCTTCCCAACCCAGGGATTGAACCCAGGTCTCCCGTACTGCAAGCGGGTTCTTTACCATCTTAGTTACTCAAAGTGAAATGCAGACCTCAAGGGTCACATCCTCTGAGTTTTGACCAAGGTGTTAGTGTGACCCGAACACATATCAAGATGTCGAACGTGACCACCGACCCTAAAGCTGTATGATGTCTACCCAGCCCCGCCCCCCGTCCTCAGGTGAACTCGTCCTATAGAACTTGAGACAGCCTGACACGCGGAGCGTGCACTCATTGTGCAAAGCCTTCTTTTATTTCGCAAATTCCTCTTAGGGTCCGTGTGTGGTGTTGGACACGTGACCAGTGTCCGTGGCTTTCTATGTCTAAATTGTAGTCCCTTGGAGGAGTCCACTGCAGGTAACTTATACATGCTCCAACGGATGGACATGCGGGCGGTTTGCACCTTTTGGCTACGGTAAGTAAAGCCATTGCAAACGTTCTTATGGAGATCTTTGTAGAAATGCGTTTTCATTTCTCTTGGGCAATTACCTGGTGGCTGGGTCACATGTAGCTGTATGTTTGGTCTTTAAGAAACTGGGAGCTGTTTTCCCAAAGTAATTGTGCCATTTTAAACCTCCATCTGATTGCTTTACATCCTCACCAATGTTAAGTCTTGTCAATATTTCTTTGTCTTAGGGAATTCCCTGATCTAGTGGTCCAGTAGTTAGGACTCTGTCCTTCCATTGCTGAGGGTCCAGGTTCAATCCCTGGCTGGGGAAGTAAGGCCCCGTGAGCCACACAGCGTGGCCGGAAACAGAGAATCTCAGGGTTAGACCCTCCACTTCTGTGCGGTGGCACCTCACGGCAGCTCTCACTTTCAATCCCTCCTCGGTGCTGATGTGAAACACTTTTCACACGTTTCCCTTCTTTGGTAAAGTGTTGAAATCTCTCACATGCTTTTATTTTTATTGAGTTTTAGGAGCTCTTTATAGAATGTGAATATTTGTTTTGCAAATAATTTCTTCCAGTCTGTTTCTTGCCTAATTATTATCTTACTGGTATTTTTTAATGACCACAGTTTAAAATTTTGATGAAGACTAGTCATTTTTATTTTGTGATGATTGTTTTCCGTATCTTGTCTGAAAAACCCTTGCTTAGCTGAAGTCACAAAGATATTCCTGCGCTCTGCTTTAAAAGCTTCATGGTTTTAGCTTTTACATTTTAGTTTATGACTCATCTCAAATTAATTCTGGTGGGTGGTGTAAAATAAGGATCAAAGTATATTTTTCCTGCACCAATGTACTTTTGTTTGATCTGTTTCTCTACAGAATCTGAAAAGAAGGCCACATTTTCCATGTCTACTTGCCTTCCTCAGACATCCACAGGCCATGCTTCTAGTTTCTGAATGGTGTTATGAGGAAGTTTTTCATTATGTAATAGACTGAGGTCCAGAATGCAGCATGCCAAGCTTGTTTGAAAACCATTGCAGTAACTCAGATCACAGACCACCACCCCAAATTAAATGTTGTGGCACACCTACGTAGTCTAGTTTCTGCCTGCTGATTTTTCTTAAGTCATCTTCAATATTTTTAGCTGGTATCATTACTATTATTATGTAGAGCACTTTGTTTCATGACAGCATTACTCAGCTTTTGGATTTTATAGTCTAAACCAGAAATAAAGTTTTATTTCATGACTCATTTTATGTAAGTAAGCAAATCATTTTGTTGAGCAAGGGTGTTTCATCTCATGATGATGGCAAAGAATTTGGGGATTAACTAAATGATGGATGTAGAATTTAATAGGTCGTGACAGACCGAGGCATAATCTTTTAAATCTTTATGAATATGTTTATATACTGTGTTTTACTTAAATACTAAATAGTCAGTATATTTGGACTTTTATAAAATCTCCCATATATTTCAAAGAGTAAGAATTCATAATACGCATTATCGTTCACTCATTTCGGTTCTTTGATTTGTTTTTGATAATAGCCCATGCTATAAATTATTCAGAAGAATCTCTTTAACCAACAGACAAAGCACCACACATCCATTACCCTTACCCTGCCTAGCAGGCTTTCCACAGATCAGAATATTTGGAATCTCCTTTCACTCCCTTAGGAGATCCTAGGGAGGGCTTTTCTTGTTAGTAGGGCAGGTGCTTTCATTTGTATTTGCCTCTCCTTGATAGAGACTTGAAGAGCACAAGAGTCTCTTTCCTTCAAACTTGAATACGCTCTTCGGTGTATAATGAAAGTTGACATGAGGTGAGTGGATCTTGGGCAATGGGACTAAAGTGTGTTCGTTGAAGAACTAAAGGACAACAGGTTGGGACGGGCCCTTTGTGTGAACAACTTGGGGCCAGGACTCTCAGATGCAGTAGAATTATCAGGTTGAAATCGTGGGCCAAGGACTTGTCATGAATGTGTGTGTGCACGTGTGTGTGTGATTGTCTGGATCAATTAGGTAATGTATTAGCTACCAGCTGCTAAATAAAAAATTGCTCCAAACATAGCACCCTGAGACAACAAGCAGTTATTATATCACAGTTTCTGTGGGCTGGGCCTGGGAGCACTCACCAGTTGGTTCTAGCTCAGGCCCTATCATTGCCAGCGCTGTGGTCGTCCAGAGGATGACCTCCGTTAGCAGAGGGCGTGGCCGCCTCATGTGGTCATGGCTGGAATCTCAGTGCTTTGTCTCGAGGTTGCCTGAGAAACCCAGGATGGCTGCAGCTTCCCCAGAGCTGGTGATTCAGGGTGAAGCCCCAGAGCTCCTCCATCACTGCCACCATGCTCGACAGCAGCACGGGCCGCCTGGGGCAGCCTGGGGGTGGTACCCGAGGGGAGTCCCTCCTGCAGACCTGGGCATGTTGCTGACTGTACCTGATACACAGATGTTTCTCTGCTTCATTTGCTTTCAGTATCAAGTTTCTATCCAGTAGGACATCCATAATGCCACATCATCGAAACTGAATCATTACAGGTAGAATAATAAGGCCTTATTATTTTTTTGGAAAAAACCTCCTTTTCTATATAACTCTTCACTCTGAGAAGATAAACATTTATGGGTCACAGAAACGACCATCCAGTGGGTCTTCAAAGCTCCGAGTAGAACATGGCAGTTGTTATTGACCCTCATTTTAAAAATGAGAGGAGCAGCAGTGGCCAAGTGACTGGCCTGGATGTCACGTCCGTGTCCGGGGGAGGGAGGAAGCAGCCATCCCCCACGGCCCTGAGATGGGATCCCTCATGGGAGCCATCTCGGGAGGGACGCCGAGATGCCGCCCACTCTGCAGTGAGCAGGTGAGGCTGAGTAAGGTGGCCAGGTGTAGCCTTGAAGGTCAGAGCGTGGGAGGTCACATGTGGGGCTGAGATTCAGTGCAGGACCTCAGGCTGGAGCCACAGCCGTCCACCCCATTGCTGTTCTCACTGCGGTCCTCTGGGGGGCTTCTGGGGTGGGGTCAGGCCCTCACTGCCATCCTCTGGGGGGCATCTGGGGTGGTGTCAGGGCCTCACTGTGGCCCTCTGGGGAGCATCTGGGGTGGTGTCAGGGCCTCACTGTGGCCCTCTGGGGAGCATCTGGGGTGGTGTCAAGTCCTCACTGCAGTCCTCTGGGGGGCATCTGGGGTGGGGCCAGGACCTCACTGCAGTCATCTGGGGGAGGTGACTGGGGTGGGGTCAGGTCTTCATGATGTGACGAGGTCATATGCATGCAGGATGGACTGCTGCCTCATGTCCTCCATGTCTCAGGACAAGCAGGACCCTCGTCCCTGTTGGACAGTCCAACCCTTTGGGGCTCCTGCACTGGGCTGGCACTTGGACGTAGGACCTTGGGTTGGGTAGGGGACGGAGAGCTTGTGAGCTGAGAGCAAGAGGCAGGAGGTGCCGCACGAGCCCAGAAGACCGGACCCCGCCTTCCCCACTCACCCTCACCCCCAGCCCCCGACACCCTGGACTGCAGGGACACATGATGGTCAAAGAGAATATTGAGCTGTGAGGTAGGAGATGGTGACCTTCACTGCATCAGCCTCTGTCACATCCTGGGGCCCCATCCCTGAGGTCACCTGGGGGAGCCATTCTCGAGCCATCCTCCTTCCAGGTGACGTTCTCAGCTGCAGCAGAAACTGACTCGGGCCAATTTTGGAAGAAAAATAAGGCATTAAAATGTGTTGACCTTCCAGGCAGCCTGAACAGTCCGCCTTCCCACCTTGCAGAGCCGGGAAAGTCCCATAGTGACATCACAGACTAGGAGCAAAGTCAAGACGTGACCAAGGCCACCCTCCAAGGGGACACTAGAGGCCACCACTGCAGACCAGGGGCAGCTCCTGCCGCCCTGTGCTCAGCACACCGGCTCCTGAGCCGCCGTCCCCGGCATGCACCAGCTAGAGGGAGTCCAGGAGGCAAGGGTCAGCTTCCCGGAGTGGCAGTCTCGCGCCCATCACGACAAGCACAACCTAAGCTGAGTAATGATGAGACTGCGGGCGGCCCCGCCTGCAGCCCCAGCCTGCTGTCTCTCCCACGAGTCTCCTTCCAGGAACCCTCACATATCCATTGCCATTTTACCTCTTTGGCTTAGTTTCACCCCAGAATGAGCTGCGCTGTCATCACCCACCCGACCGGATGGTTTTAGAGAAGCAACTTTTGATGGAAAGTACCAAAACATCAGGGGTTGGGGGGTTCCAAAGAAAACACCGCAAGTTTTTACCAGAGTTGACCTGGCTGACATTTTTGTGTTAAAGATGCAATCATGTAATCTTCCCTCTGGGCTTGCTCATTCTGGGGCTCCATCTGCCGGCTGAGCACCATCCCCACTGTGTGCAGCTCCAGGCTCACCTGGTCCAGGAGGCAGTCCATGGAGACTGTTTGGAAAGTGGCCTAAGACATTCCTGCTTTAGCTCACCATTTCCGTGAAGCCCACCCAGATTCCTCTGGCCACCCCTGTGTCAAGGTCAGCAGAGACCTCGCTGTTTTCCAGGGATTTCCCTGCTGGAGCCTGTTCTCGGCTCTAAAATGCCAGCATCCAGCACCTGCCTGGAGGAAGGAGGCCCAGGACCCATGGGGTGCAGCAGCGAGGCTGTCTGATCTCAGTTCGGTCTTTAGCAACGACTTCTCGGAGGCGTTGACGTCTAAGGTACACCAGTCTGTCTGACCTTCACACGAGTTCGCCCCTCACCCCAAAGAAGAAAGGGCTCGGTTACCCAAGGAGTCAGGCAAAAATTCCTGAGTCAATGCTTACTTTAAATGCAATGAGTGCTTTGAAAGCAAGTATGTTTGTTGTGCGTGTGTGTGTGTGTGTGTCCAGGTCTGTATTTTAAAGTAAGTGTCTATCAATCCTGTGGCAACCTCAGCCTTAGGACGTCGTTGAGCCAAAGAGCCCCATGAGATTTTAGAAAGGATTAGCTGTGCTGGTGAATAGGACTAGGTTCTGTAATTATTCCCGAAGCCGTTTCTCAGTGGGCAATTAGGGGATTAAGCCTATGATTTGATCAAATATTCAGGCCTTTTACACCCTGTACCGCACTCGCCAGGCCTCGGAATACCTCCATTTGTCCTAATATAACAGTCGTCCTTAAAGGACTCACTCAACGAATGGATTTACCACCAACAATTAAGCTGAAGGCACCACAGCTCAGACGGCAAGCCTTAATGATTTTTCTGTCTCCAACATCACAGAGAATTTCAGCCCTTTCAGAATTTCACAACAGCACCACGTCAGTCCTGTGTGGACAGCACACCAGCCAGATCAAAGGCTGAGTCTCCACACACGAGTTTTATGTTCCATCTAAATGATTCTTCTGTAAGAAAGTGGCATGACTAAAGGTTAATTGTAGAAGTACAAGGAATATTGCCGTGAACTTTATGAAGTCAGTGGGCAATGAATAAATGTCCTCTGAAGAGCAGCCTTCCTGCCTCTTAACGAGTGAATCACTCACATTAGGGTCACAGCCTTCATTACACCCATTTCAGGTTTCCTGTCAAGACTGCACAGTAGAGCTTGGCATTTCCTGCATCCTTTACGTGAGACGGTCTCCTTGAATGTACGGAGACTCTGCGATGGTTTAAAATTTTTAAAAAACCTTTATTGAGTTTAATAACACCAGTGCATGTATATCCATCCTTCGCAGAGGCCGCGAGGGTCTTAAGCCTTGAGGGTGTGGCCTTGCTTCTCTCTGGGGCTCCCCAGCCATCTCTCCTCTGTGCCCACAGGTGCCTTGTGGCTTTCTGGCAGTTTCTCACCCAGGCAAAGACGCTGGGACTTTCTTTTGTGTAACACCCTTTTTTTATGTAACTTTACCTCTAAATTCTTTATACAATGTTACAACTGTTTGTCTATGTCCTTGGTCCCCGTGGGGGAAGGCAGGTCTGGGGGCCGTGAGTTTGTTCTCCAGAAAACACTGGTGAACATTAACAAATTGAAAGATAAAAACCATATGATTATCTCAATAGATGCAGAAAAAGCCTTTGACAAAATTCAACATCCATTTATGATTTAACTTTACCTCTAAATTCTTTATACAATGTTACACCT